TTGTTGCCTCAGTGAGATGGATTCCAGATAGGAGGAAGAACTAGTTGCTGGTGCATCTAGAATTACTTGAGGATGAAATTTCCCTTGTACCCGCACTAGCAGCCCCCATTACCCTTGCAGTTCCATGAAGCCCTGTCCACACAGGTGTCTGTATTTGCTTGCAAGTCCTCTACTTCATGTGGTAGAGGTGCACATGTAGGGAATAAATACTCCTTCTCCAGTATGGCTCTACCAGATAACTAGGACCTGCTATGATACCTCATCTGTCTCTTTCTAGTAAGAAGTTAGCTTGGGGACAGCAAAAAAAGTCATTGGGAAGCCGGAGCAGAGATTCCTGTTTACAAAAAGGAAGTTAAAAAAAAAAAAACAACAAACAAACAAACAAAAAAACCCAAACACCACCAAAAAAGCCCCACAAAACAAAACAACCACCTTTTATTAAACCTGTTGCTAAGGGTTATAAATAGGAATGAAGGACAAAATGAGGAACAGGGTAGTGATATCTGGCTAACAGGAACATCTATATGACAGAGAGATTTACTAACCTGCAATAGTTTCCTAAGGGACAGGTGCAAGTTATGTTGAGTAGGTCATGGAGCTCTGGATTTCACCATGCATAACTGGTAGGAGTATAAATGAGTGAAATCAACCTGGCTCACTAGGGAAATGAGCCCTCAATAAAATTTACAGAAGTGCCTAAACATTTTAAAAGTCTAAATCTGTTTTAAAGTGATTTCTGCACTAGATTCTTGTGTTGACTCCATGGAAATACCTGAATTAGTCTGAAGCATAAATGTTCATTAAAGGACAAAGCTTCTAGGGCATCAAGCAGAGGATGTTCATATAGTAATGCTGCATCTGATATTAGGTGCCTGTCTCAGTATTCAGTTGGAAAAACTAGTCTCCATTTTGGGTGCTCCAAATAGCTAATGATAGGTATGTATTTATACACCATATATATATATATATATTTAAATGCATGCTTGATCCCTCTTTGCCAAGTGAATAATTTCCTCTACAGATCCTTGATTCACCTCATGTGCAATATGACTGAGTTTAATTTAAAAACTTTTCTGTATGATACTTCTATGATTTTTCATAGAACAGGCAAATAAATCACATCCTCTGTCCTGTTCCAAAGGAACAGCATTTTGGTAATATTTTTCCAGGAGTGCTTTAGCTTCTGTAAAATTCCATAAAACATCTTCAGAATAAGTGCAAGGTGGGTTTTTGTTTTCTTAACTTTTTAACTTCGTGGTACCTATTAATGTTAGCTGAAGGCGTGTACTAAACCTGTAAGGAAACTGTCCTAGGACTCTGCACACGGCAGTAGTGAGGATAAGCTGGTTGTCTAGAACAGATCAGTTTATCTTTCTTAAAAGAAGGGCAAAAGAGTCATTATGAATTTATAGGTGTGGAAACTTGAAACATGAATTGCAGTACTCCATGTAACCATGTACTAAGATGGAGGAAGGCGGTCACATGTTTGCTCCTCATTAGTTACAGGACTTAGAAAAGATATTCCCCTCTCTTTTAGGCAAGAAGTTACACAATTGGTCAAGCTTGTCCTTATGGTCACTACCTTCCAACAAAACCTACGCACGGGTGACTTTTGCATTGGCTTGCCTGGCCCAGTGAATTAGTTTATCATAACTTCTCATTTTTTTGGCTTGACACAAAAGAAGAGGGTGGATGAAACCCAGGATCAGGTGTCTATTTTGAAGAGGGATCTCTTTTAAATATGCTTCTCCCACATTTGCTCAAGGAGACACGCCATGCTCCTGGTATTCATTAAACATCTCTTTCTTGAAACTGTTTATCTACTCACATGATTAAAAGGGTATGTAAAATACCAAGTCTTGCATATTTTGAGAAGCATAGATTTTTGTCTCATCTCCCTAAGTGACATGTACTGCCAAGCTGCAATAGACGTTTAAAGAGCGGTGGTGTTGGGTAGAAATTGCTGCAATTTCAAGTACCTACAGAGGTGGATCTTTTGGTTTCTTAGTAATTTGGACTTTGTAATCCTGAGTTTACCAGGCCATATTTCAGGACAATATTTGCAGCATTTATGCTTTTTTTTTTAAATATCCAAAGAAACAGCAGTATTTTACCAAAGATTCATTAAACAAGCTGACAAAAGGCTATAGCCAAATAAAAATAGGCTGCTTTTTTTTTTTTCTAGAAGAAAGCGCAATTAGACCTCATGATTGTACTGCACCCTGTACCAAGTGAGGTTGCTGTAGTGGAATTAAGGAGTGAACACACCCAGTCTGAAATGTGAGGCTTAATTTTCAGCTGTGAGTTATTCCTGGTTATGATCTCATTTTATGCCATGAAAGTGATCAAATAACATTAGCTCCTGAGTGTAATTTTTTTTCCAAAGGGTGATGCTTATTAAAGTCAAATGGAGTCCTGGCAAGACTCCGAAAAGCTGTGAAAATTTGACAGTAAAAGCACGACTTAAATGCATGAAGATTTGCCTTCCAAAATCTAAAACCTTTATTCAAGCTGAACAACTTAAGGCTATCTCTAGTTACATAAATCCAACACTTACCTTTAAATGTTGGTGTTTCATTTTTTCCTCTTCCACTTTCAGACGTTTCTGTGTAATTTCTTCTTGCAGTTTTCTTTTGTCCTACAAATTAAGAAAACAATAAAACTTTGTTTAGAGAAATTACTTGTTGCTAAAAAAATTGTTGTTCAGTAGGGTGAAATCAACCCATGCAAACAAAGCCTTATTTTAAAGCTTATATGGCGCTCAGGCAGTGCATAATTCTTAGCAGCAACAGCTCACATGTCCTATGCAGGTATGGTTTCCGTTACTCTTTCTCTGAAGTATGTTTGAATGTGTTAATGACCACAAAGCAGGGATGATCCGAATTAAAAATAATTTACCATTGGGAAGGGCAGGGGAAGAAAACAGGAAGAAATAACATTTGAGCACAATTGCACATGCAAAAAGAGGTTAGAAATGGGTCGTGACCAAAATTCCAAAGGCAGCCCACACATCAGTTAGGAGAGGAAAGAGTCTGCATGGTCTACGCTGTGCAGCTGTGGTACATCACTAATGAAATGGGCTGTTGGTGAATCCAGCACTGAGCTTATGTATCTTGTGGCTAATAGCTGGAATAAACAGGAATAAATAAAGACATAGAAATCTATTTCATGAGTTGAGTAGTGGTGAAGATGAATACGGAGAACTGTAGTATCCTTCATATATCTTGTTGTTACCTCTAAATTTAAAAAAATGTTTTTTGTTTGTGAAAAGGCTGTTTTCATGGTTGCTGAACTTCAGAAGGAAAAAGCTCAAGCAGTACTGATCTACCATAGTGCCACCTTCATCCTTCTTGCTACAAATTATAGAAAAAAGGAAATAGGTGAGCAGTCTCTGAACGCTGGCAACACTTGAGCCTCTTGTGTCTTTGGATAGCTGCTGTTGTGTGGAGGATTCTTGTGGCTCCTCTGTATGAGGCCAAACGCTGATTTAGTACCTGGTGTCCTCAGCAGCCAGTGGGAAAGGAATCATGCCAAAGGAAGCTAACTTTTACTCTTACAAGCTGTATTAATAGGCTATTCTCTTGGTCAGCCTTAATGCTATAAAATCCTGTTATTGGACATGGCAACTTTTGCACTTGTTTCTTGGTATGTTTTAGGGAAGTAAATTAAATCATCTGCTGTCCTGTGCAGACGCGTTTGCTGACTGGAGGCTAATCCCCCTTTCCTTTCAATTAGAACAGATTACTGATAGGTTTTTTTTTAACAGTCTGTTTTCAGATGAGTATGGTTTAGGAAGGAGTTAAGTTCCTCGCAAACATAGGAAGAGACTTGCCCTTTCAGCTCACCTGAGCAGCCAGCTGTGTGTAGGAGAGTAGAAAGTCAGTAAGAAGGAAGTGCTGGGCATAAGGCTGGGAGTTGTTCTCCACTGTTTCCCTGGGATCTGGGATTTGGAGACAGGAAGAGCCGTAGTGTGATTCGGCCAAGAACTTCACTGTTACTGGAAATTAGAAATTAGCCGTGGGGCCACAGCCTAGAGGGACGCTTTGTTGAAAGATAGGAAGTAGAAGAAACCACGTAGCCTTGTGGAGATTGAGGGCAGGACTGCAGGCTGCCCAAGCACAACTGATGGTATGCTGTGGTTTAGTAGATGAATGAGTGTCAGTGATCTCTTTTCTCTTGCAGTCTGTAAAGTGCAGTAGCCATCTATAAACACCATCTGTACTTTACAATTTTTCCTTGATGGTGTTAAGTCTGCCTCTTTAATACACAGAGCAGGTAGGGATCTTGCCTCAAGATACATGCTACTTTCATCTCTGTAGTGGTTTTGAGTCATGCTTTTTAATACAGTTAACAAAGCTACTGATTTAGGATTGCTACAATATGTATTTTTTCTGCAATGTCCCTTTTTAGAGACTTTATCCAAGAGCTGCTATGCTGGATTTTACTCAGCCAGTTCTGATTTTGGAGACATAGCATCTGGTCTTTGACCTTCACACCTTTTATATTTAGGAAAGATTCCTGATCTCATTGTATAAATGGCCTTTAAATAACGCATCATTAGATGACCAAAGGGTGACAAGAGCTTGTGTTTACAGATTGTTACAATTCTTGAGGAAACCGCTTTTTCTCTTTGCTGAAGTTCTGGATAAGATTCTTAGCCAGAGAATGAACTTTTACTTCGTTTATGCTATTAAAAATACTCTAAGTCAATTTAAATATTATTTTTATACCAGTGGAGATGTGTACTGAGAGTTTGGGCAGTCTGAAATGAGAAGCAATACACAAAGATACTGTGCAGAAAGAAGTCAGAGTGCAAAGGCACAAATAGCTGCATTTTAAAATAACTGTGTAATAAGGAACTATTCAGTAATGAAACTTTTTCCTGTTGATCTTGTTAGAGGTCTGTGTTTCTTTTGCATACCATATTTTTTTCTCTTGAAGTTTTCTACTTGTATCCTTTGTTGGTCTAGCATGTTTTAATTTCACTGGTTGGTAATAAGCATCCATTATACAATTATCCAGATTAAATGGGTTGAAATAGATTGTCTTTTGTACATCTAGTCAAAGAAAGCTGAAAGTCTAATGCCAGAAGCTAAATTCAAGGAAGATGTATGAGGAATCTTTTTGAGCCTTGTGTTGCCAGAATAATTTTTAAAACCTGTTAGGACACTTCCTACAGTGTATTCTGCTACGCTTTGTCTGCAAATCATGTCTTGCTGTACAAAGCTTGGACTATATGTGTAATGGAATAAATGTTTATTCCTAGATAGCTAAGAGACCCATGCTTCTACTAAACTTCATACTCTGCCCCTGTAGATAATCAGGTTGCTGGCAGAAGTCCTTTAATCCTCTCTTACTATGCCCTTGCTAATGTGGGCAAGATTTGCTTTTTATGAAAGAACACCTTCATCCCTTCCTCTCTGTTATGCACCAGTGCAAGGTGAGACTTGAGCCTTGGTCCTAATTTTCACTCCTACTGAAACATGTAGGAATCTTTGCTGACTTTTGAGCATAGAAAAGAATCACGTTCTAAATTGGATCTATGTGAAAGGCAGGGAAACACATCTATGGAGCAGTGTCTTGCTAGGTATCGTGTGTGCCAAGTCCATTAGTTTGTCAGTGGTCCACAGTGGTGCCAATATTGGTCTGTTTGGTCCCATGGAAAATACCATGTACTGTCAAGGTCAATGGAGCAGCTAATCTTTTAGGTGATGTATTTTTGTTTTCATATAATTTTCCAGACGTAGCGCTTGGTTATTGAGGGGTCTTATCTGGAGGCATGGACATTTTAGTCTGATGGCATGAGACTGCAGAAATGTCATAATTCAAATCTTTAATCATAATTCAAATCTTCTATCATTTTTGTTTTCCCATAGAATGGAGGATTTGATGAGAGAGGATTAAGCCTAAGGTTGTTCTTTGACTGTTATGTCTTAACGTATTGAGATAAACCAACACTAAAGCTTTTGTATTTTAAGATATGACAGTCTCTCTAACAAAATGGTTGCATTTTATTTACTTGTTGTATTCTATATATACCAGCAGCAGGTGGAAGCTATATAACAGAGAAAAATGGTTCCTTTTCAGAGCCATGGGGGCATCGAGATCTTAAAAAAAAAAAAAAAAAAAAAAAAAAAAAAAAAAAAAGGTTTTTTTTTTTTTTTTTTTTAAAATTGACCTTTTCCAACCCGTGGGGGCATCGACAAAATTTAAAAAAAAAAAAAAAAAAAAAAAAAAAATAATAATAGGGTTTTCCTTTTTGCTTTGCTACATAGAAAAGATATGAAAAAGAATTTGAAAACCCCTAGTGGCTCTGTGAGAGCCAGATGCTGTAAAAGAGCCAGGCATTTAACAACAGAAACCAATCAGGTTTTAGTGCAAGTGTCGTTGTTTATTGCTCTGAGTGCCCCTTGCTCTACCCTCTGTTACGTTCTTTACAACATACACCTTGTAGGTAGCACTTGAAATTCCCAGGTATGTTGCTTGGGACAAACCTTCCCAGAGCCACTGAGTAACTCACAATTCTAATTGTAATGTGTTGTTTTCTTGGACAGCTTGTATTGCAGATTCTTAAACATGATGATAACTTCACCTTATTTAGGCTCCTTCGTTTCTGCAGTGCATTATAACAAATACACTGAGTGTTTCAATTAAATGCTCTCAATTGATGAAAGCAGAGAGCAAATAGTTCCTTTATGCAGCAAGTGTAATAAATGAAGCCATGGCCAGAACCCAAATATGATTTCCTATTTCCTGTAATGCAAGACACTGGAAGCTGTTACAGTTTCTTAAAAAAACCACTTCTCCAGTATTTATCTGGAGGCGAAGACGCAGCCAGAGGATGCTGACCCTAGTACGTTCATAGGAGTCCTCGTGAGGCAAGCGTGCTGCCCCATTCCTCCTGCCAGATACCAGGAAGTATAAAACATTGCAAGGCCCGGACTTCCCTGGAGCGCCAAAACATTTCTTATCTTTTGAGCCCATTCGCTAGAGACAAAGTCCAGGTTATGAGTCGGGTTCAAACACCATTACAGTTAAACAAAGGAACATACTCTAAACCCTCTAAAACATTTCAATTTACCATATTGTGGGCTTGAGTCAGGTCTCAAGTAAATACGATAAATGGGCCTGTTGGCTTTTATCAAGTGTCATAATTAAAACCCAAACAAATTAACCCCCAACCTATTCAACTCCTGTAGATTTCCAGTTATGCCTTCTCACATTTATTTTGATTCCAATAAGGTATTTTTTAATTCTGCTCACCAGTTATTCAGCCAGCAGTGTTTGTTTCAAAACTAGTCTATCATGCTAAGAGTGAGAAAAATACCTTTGTTCCCATTATTTGTTTTTAAAGATTGCCTGTGACAGTGAGTGGTCCTTCTGCAGTTTTCCTTTCATCCCAAAGGGCCAAATTTTGTTTCAGTTTAATTCTTTTGTAACTGAATAGGTTTCAGTGGAGATCAAATCAGAGAATTTGGATTCAGCCATTTTTGTTACATCAGGTTATATTCTTTTAAAAAAATAACTCAGTAGTTCCTTTAAAACACTAAATCTTTTGAATCAGATTTCCCTTTAGAAGAGAAACTGAAAATGTTTTCTAACATCTTCAGCATAAACTTTACCGAGTCTTTCTTTTTTTTTCCTCCTCTGAAAACCGACAGGTAGGAATTTGCTTAATCCAAGCTTGTCCTTTTTTACTTTTCAGACAGCAATATTTATGATAGATCACCAATAATTCAGAAATTGTATTTAGCCCCACAACGCAAAACCAAAAATCTTTCATCTCTCAGTTTTGTTGTGAAATGGGAAAATTGATTTGTTCTGGAATTCTCTAGCTGCCTTTTGACCTGCTGTCCTTCAGGCAAACATTCAGTTGTGATGATAGTAATATGTATTTTAGACTGTCCAGTAGTGATTTGCACACATACTTTCACTGCTTTGAATTTAATTTGAAAGTGCAATACAACCCCTACTAAAGTCAGTACAGGCAACTTTGCTGTCTTAAAGCAATAGCTTATAAACCAGAATTAAAAAGTAATAATTTCAGGCAGACATAAGTCTCTTTCTTTTTCCATCCTGGGATAAATCATTCTTCAGAAAACACACAGTAGCTCATTAACACAATGCTACTTCTAAGCCTTTTTTTTTTTTTTTTAATAGCGAGTTATAACTATAAGCACTTACTGTTATGGCCTGGAATCTTTCTTTCAGCAATTCGGCTTCCTCCATTCTAGAAATCAAAAACAGACAAGTAGTGAAGGAAAACAGAATGAGACCATAAGCAAAAAGCCTCCTGGTGGGGCTACAAAAAAAGCTGAGGTGATTTGATCCAATTCCAGAGCAGAGAGAAGGCAAAATTTTTGACTTGTCAGGAGAGTCCCTGAACAGATGAGCAGATCAGTCCAGACAGACACATGTAATGAGGGTGTGTAGAAGAGGCAGACGTGGAGGGTGCTGGCATGAGTTGACTGACAAGTTGGAACAGTGGAGCACAAGCCCTTTTCCTTCAGAAGCTGCCAACTCTTTGTTTTAATGTGCTCAGTTAGCGTGCCATTGCTTCTTTAACTGTTAAATGCCCAAAACAGAATCCTCCAGGACCATGGTAGAAGTAAACTTTTATTATGTTCCTATTTCTCTTTCTTCCCTTTGTATATGCTTCTGGTCGTAAACAGATATTTTGCACTTATTGAAGTGTTCCTATTTCTCATGAAACTTATTTCACCTGTGTGTTTTAACCTGTTGTAATGTTAGCACTGTAGACGGAGTGTTTTTTCGTTTGTTTTTTTTTTTTTTTTTTTTTTTTTGAGACAGCAGTTTTAATTTAGTTTCCTAGATGAAATTTTTAGAGAAGCCATATTCACAGCTGGAAGAATGTTTTAGAACTGCTAACCTAAAGTAAAATAAACTTTAAGCAATCAGGTCTGTCATTGAGTGCCAGTGTTAATCTGTGCAATTACTGGTCAGCTATCTGGGACTCAGGGGAAGCTTTGTCTAAGTAAGGATTTCAGGATCATCATTTCAGTGTTACCAAGATGAGTCTAAAATGCCAGTGGCTCTCACGCTGGATTTACATTCAGCTGACTTGAAGGGTTTTTTGCTGTGGACTTCTGCTGAAAACAGCATTATGCTCCTTAAGGGATGCCGTATGTTTTGACCTTTCCAATTACACGAGTGGGAGTCAGCCTTCCAAAATCAATCTAGGAAACTTGCAAAAGAAGTGGAACTGCCTCTAGTAAAATCCTGTGGTGGAAAAAATTGTAAGCAAGATAAAGCTGAATTCAAACAGCATAAAGATGTAATGTGAATCTGGAATCCCTTTGTTACCCTCAGTATCATGTAACTTAAGTCTTTGTAAGGACACCAACAGGAGAGTCAGTCAGCACGTTTGGGTTTTTTTCCTGCTAATTCATTGAGATGACTAAACTCAGCAGGATTTGGTGAGGGGTTTTACTTTACTTGTGATTACGGTGACCTGAATCTTCGTGGAAAATCAGGCTCATTACTAGCAAATTCTAAGATGTTACAGAATTGAACACTTGATGGTGAAGTTACATCCTCATAATTCAATATGAATCAATATTTAATTTCCATTTCCACCTTTCTAGTATGTCATCGCTCATCCATATACACAAGCAGACTATCCCCCTCCACACTGGGATTAAGGATGCATTAACGTTTTGTTTATACTGTGATCCACCCTGAGGTTCTGTTCAAACTTGCAAAGACCCCATGTTTTATTCTCCAGTGAAGATTTTTTTTTTAATATTAATATATGCCTCATTTGATCAGCATCCAAAATTAAAAAAATTACCACATAAAAGCAAATGTGAAGTTCAAAGACAAGTGTGCTGAGGTATATCAAGAGACAGATTTCATGGGAATTTAAATGTGTTCAGTTTATGGATTTGACAAAAAGTTCAACCACCCCACTGAATTAAATATATTCTTGCTGCAGAAGCCAATAGAGAGACGGTCTTTCTGTTTAATCTTTCATAAGTTAGTATAGCCTGCCTTATTATGTTTTGACAAAAACCCCAAACTTATTACATCTTTGTCTTCTGCGAAGTTAATCTTAAAATTTAAGTGTGTATGTGAACTTCAAAATGTTTAAAAGTATTTAAAGCAGCAAAGGATTACATCAGAAATAAGGAAGTTTCTTTTGGGCCAGAATCTGTACTCTGATATAAATGGGATTCCATTCTCAATGGGTGGAGAAATTAGATCAGTATTTCATGTTCAAATCAGAATAAATGGGATTGCATTGTTTTGAATTTTTATGATCTGAAATATTTTCCTTACTTTATGCTCCAAAATTATTTAAATGCTTTTAAAAACCTTACTTGTGGATATTATATATTTACAGACCAGAAAAGTATTTAATATGTCTTTTCCTAATCTGAACTCCCAGATTTTGAAGTAACCTGAAGATAATTTCTAAAATGTTGCTTACCTTCTTAAGTGACCATTATTAAGAAAGTATTTACAGCCCACTTTAAAAATTTTAAATTGTTTAAATCATATATATCCCCTTGCGAGGCAGGATTTGTTGTTCAGTCAATAGGTTGTTTTCCAGTTGCCTTAATCCTATTCTAAATGGGATTTATGTGCAAGAGAAGAAATGGACCAGCTGTCATTTTGTCTGCCCCTTAAGCCTGCTTCACCAATAGGAGTATCCACAGTGTTATAGGTTAGATCAGTGAATCTGAACAGCTGTATTTTCAGTCTGCAGGATTCTTGGAACAAGGTTTTTCAGAACTTGCCTGCCAAAAATGTATCCAGAGAAAACTCTCTACCTATTCTGCAAGTTTAAGCCAAAAAAAAAAACCAAAAACAAAACCCCAAAACCAAGAAAAACCATATCTTTTGGAAGGATAATGTGTTTGCCTGTGTTTCTGTAACTGACAACTGTATACATTTCTTTTGGTAGAACAGATTCTCTGAGTTATGCAGAAAATGTTTGTTGTATCACATGATGAGTCATACAGGTTGGATTTTCTTGGCTTCACTTCTTCCCGTTGTTCATTTCCATTTTGCACTGGGTACCTAATGTAGGGGTAATAATGAGAATCTAAAGCACAAGGTGAAACAGTGGCATTATGAAGTCTTAAAGAAAAATGGATGAGAATTTAGAAGAATGCAATATCCTGAACCAAAATCTAGAAGTGGCACCACAGAAGCACTTCCACAGCTGGAAATGCAAGTTTCGTTGTCTGTTTCTGGAGCAAAGTCTGAGTACTGGCGTAGAGAAATCCTGTCACTTCAGAATTGTAGCGGCTGTCCCTGGCCATACTCTACAAACAAAACCATCCTCAGTTCTACTCTTACTCATAGCACTGGGATTTCTTTTGAAACAAATCATTAACCTAAGGTAATACATGTACAATGAGTTATAGATTATTGCAGTACCAAACAGTTGCTTCTAAGAAGAAATGTATCATTAAAGGTAAGGAGCAAGAAGCTTTCACTTTTTGAAAAAGTGAGTTTGAAGTGAATGGAATTGATCAGATTGTTATCAGTTGAAAACATAGCCTATATTTGCTGGAAAGAGGGATTACTGAGTTCATGAATCACCATTTTGTGCATCTTAACTAGTCTGATTATTTTGCTTTGTGATGACCTGCCTTCTGTAGCTGTGTTTGAAACAGGAAAAGGGTGTTTTGGACTTGGTATCAGAGTGAATTTTATATTTTTACAGTGAGCAAATGTACTGCCACTATGCATCTGTCTGCATGTAGCCTTGAATCTCTGACAGCAGAGGAATGGAGAGAAGATAAATTTTATTGAAGGTCCCTCATTGAAAATGTCTACTGCAGTGTCCTGTCAATTGACCCAAAGGTCTGGTGTCTGGGATGCCTCAGCTGATTGAGAAATGGTCTCTTTTCCAACCAAGAATTTGCATTTTAAAGATGAAAAATTAGACAGAAAGAGAAATTTGAAGAACTAAAAACTTTTGTTTATTCCAGATGAAATGCATACAAATAGACAAACGAAAGCCTTTGGGCAGTTGCTCCCCAAACTTTTTTTTTAGAGACTTTCTCTTCAGCTGTATGTTATTTCCCAAAAGAAACAAGGTTTGTTTGTCTCCCTGAAAGGTTGGTTTTGAAGGCCGTTTCCACCATTAGTCTGCAAAGTACTTCCAGCTGTTTCAGTCAACAGTGCATTAATGTTGCACAATAAGCAGCAAACCGCTTTTGCCTATGATACATCCAGCTAAGGAACTCTTCTGGGGTTCATCATGGTGCTATTTTTTTGGCTAAAAAGCTTAAGATGGTCACACTTCTCAGAGATGGAAATCTTAGCAGTAAATAAAAAGCTTGAAGTCAAGGGAAAGAATACTAGCCAGAAGCAACACCTATCACATTAAATTTATTTTACTTTAACCTGATTTTTTTCATATTATAAATAATATATTTTCATGTATCCATCAAGTCATAAATTCCAAGCTAAACTGGAAGGTGTTTCATGGAAAAACGTGTGTGTTAATAACAGGGGAAAAAAGCTTTAAAGTGAGGATAACCTAGAGAAATGAAGTTAAAAACTAGCCCCAGAATATAATTTTATATACATGAATTTGTGTATATATGCAAATATATATTCTACATATAAAAATAATTATTAGTAATTAGTAAAGACATTAAGTATCTTTATGGGTACTTGTACATGTTTAAATACTGCATCTAGGGGTACGTATAACTACCAGACTAGTTGTGTGTAGCATGTCTATGGTAGACTTTCTCATTGCTTGTTTTCCTTGTGGCTCATACATCTATAGCTTTCTAGCCTCTCAGTTTCTGTTGGTCACTAAATCTTTAATCTAATGACCTCTTTAGCATGTGGGATTGCCTGACCCTTATCAGATCAATAAAATTTAACATGCTTTCTTTTATACTTTAGTCAGACTCCAGATTATATTAGCCAGTATGCTTAAAGATATGTGATAAATCGGGGTGGGGGGGCGAGAAAAAAAGCCTTATTGTCCCTTCATCAAATTATACAATGTTAGAAATTATTAAAAAAATGTGTACATTTTTAGGATCTTAGAGGAAGTTCATAACAAAACCTCTGCCAGCTCTTAGGAGGGATTAAAATTTTGCCTTGAAGGCCAATTTTTGAGAAGTAATTCCCTACTAGGCAGGTCTCTCAACATGATGAATTTCTTGCGTTCTCTCACTGAAGCAAAACAATATCTGAGTATCTCAGTTTTATACAGTTTTATGAAGCTAAATTCTACCTTCTTTACTTGTTTGAGTAGACAAATTCCTCCCTGAATCTCTGGGAGGAAAAGCCTTGAACTATTATGTTTCTGTTGGTACAACTCCCTTCCTGTTGCTATTCATAAGTATGAATATATTAAGTTTTAAAAATCAAACTGAAGAAACAGCTGTTGGTCATTGCCTTCAATTGTTTTAAAAACATTGATTATTTTAGTAATATTTTATAATAAATCTGCTTGTCAGATATCTTTCAATATTATAGAGAAG